AATAGCCAAAACATGGAAAGAGCCTAAGTGTCCATCAACGGACAAATGGATCAAGAAGATGTGGTTTATCTACACAATGGAATACTACATGGCAATGAGAAAGAATGAAATCTGGCCATGTGTAGCCACGTGGATGGACCTTGAGGGTGTTATGCTGAGGGAAATAAGTCAGGCAGAGAAGGACAGATGCCATATATTTGCACATATGGGAGGATTAGGAGGAATTTAACAGAGAACCGTGGAGGAGAAGGGGGGAAATAAAGGGGGAGAGGGAGGAAGGCAAACCATGAGAGACTCCTGAATGCTGAGAACAAACTGAGGGCTGATGGGGGGGGGGAAGAGGGGAAGGGGGGTAATGGGCATGGAGGAGGGCACTTGTGGGGATGAGCACTGGGTGTTATATGGAAACCAACTTGACAATAAACTATAAAAAAAAAAAGAAAAGAAAAGATTTTTCAGCTTGGGGCACCCGAGTGGCTTAGTCGGTTAAGTATCTGACTCTTGATTTTGGCTTAGGTCATGATCTCACAGTCATCGGATTGAGCCCCACATTGGGCTCTGAGCTGAATGTGGAGCCTAGTAGGGATTCTCTCTCTCTCTCTCTCTCTCTCTCTCTCTCTCTCTCTCCCTCCCTCCCTCCCCTCCCTCCCTCCCTCTCCCTCTCTCCCTGCCCTTCCCCAACTGGTGTGCACGCTTTTTCTCTCTCACAATAAATAAGCTTGAAGTAAACTTTTTAGTTTAATTGTGCTGTTTAATTAAAAAAACTTTCCTAAGGCATAAAAAAATATTTTGTCTTCCTGTATTCCTGCTTATCTTCACCACTGAGAAATGCTGATAACATTAATAAGGTCAGTCATTCTTCAAATACAGACTTGGCATAAAGTATGGATTCTGAGTATTTAACTGTCCGTGTGGCTGTTACAGTTTAAAGATTCTGGTCTGTTCTGGTAAAGACCAGTAAAGCTTTCTCCTGTAGGGAGTCTTGTTATTAATAAGTCTGATCTTTTTAGAAAACATTTTGATTTGGGAAACATTTTGTTTATAGTTTTTTCTTACTGCCTTTTTGTCAGATACTTTATTGGTGGATCCACACTCACTTTATAAAAAATAAATTTAAAAAAGACTAATGGTCACTTCTTTAATAAATCTCCACCCGTCCCAGGAACCTGCTAGATTCTCCATGTGGAGCTAATGGTGAGATGTCCCTGTTCCAGAACATCAAGGAAAGTGTGTTTTGCTTTGACTGAACTACCCGATCTTGGACCTGTGCATCCTGCCCGTGCAGCAGCGTCTCCTAGATGTCCCAGTGTCACGGTCCCTGCCCTGTCTTTTCCTCGCCTCTTCTGTTGTTTCCGTCTCTCTGGCCGTGTGGGCGCCCCCGTGTCATTTGCTCTCCTGTAGGAAGGTGCTCAGAGTCTAGTTCCCATGATGGATAAACCAAAGGAGCATGCTTTATGCCTGCGCTGAAGTTCCCCTGTTTTGGTACAATACTCACTAGGTGCAAATGATTGAAAGAAGCTAGAGGGATTCTCAGTCTTTAGGAGAATGTACTTCTTTGTTTCTCCTTAAAAACAGTTAACTCACCACCCATTTGTTCACTCACATATGAACTTTTGATCTGTCTTTACTTCTGGACAGTTAAGGAGAGAAATGGAGCTGCTCAAACCACAGGTGCATGTTCAGATATTTTATTCTAGTCCAGTGGCTCTTAATCTTTGTTGGGTCCTGAATCCATCCCTCTGAAACCGTGGAGAAAGTAAACAAGTGCTCTCCAAAAACGTACACACAATACAGACAACATTTATAGATAATTTCAGGGGTTTCTCAGCCTCACAGGAGGCCATCCATGGTCTTGTGAAAGGCCCCTGGGTCCGAAGAACTCTTGTTCAGTAAACCTGCAGCCCTTCTCTGTTTCCGTCCAACATGTGTGATTATCATTAGGATGTGTCAGAGAGATCTTCCCACCTGTGTTTTCTTTCACTCCCAGCTGCTAAGTCTCAGAGAAACCTCATCAACCACCCTTCTGCCGGCTTGCTCAGAGGCCTTCAGAAAACATTAACTATAGATATAACATAGATCGGTCTTGTAATTGATTATCTCGGAGGAAGCCTTTGTTTCTGTTAGGCCTTACAGCTTCTGGCAGCCCATGGCCATGGCACCAATTTGCAAGTTCACTACCTATACCCATGTTCACCATTGTCCAGTGTAGCCATCATAACATTAACTAAAGTCATTGCCACTGATTAATCTTGCCCTCTCCTTTCTCTAAATTTAGGCTCTTCGTGATCCTTCAGTTCCCAAAACTGTGGAAAATGATTTCCTTTAGACCTTTTCTGGGTTTTATGTGCTCAAGTCTCAATTTGTTATTGCCCAAGCACCTGAGCTTTCCAAATAACACCTACACCGATTACTCCTGCGTACCGGCCCTTGTAGCAGCAGAGGCAGCCGTCAATTTGTGATTACTGTCATTCACCACTAACCTTTACTGTGACTTGCCTCTGGCACATAATGAGAATTTCTCAAATGTTAATTCTAAAATTAAGCATTACTTAAATAGTAAAAGAGGTTCTTTTAAAAAAAAAGCAGCTTAATTAACTGTCTTAATTAAAGAGATCAACTATGAAAGCTGATATTTTAAGGCCCTGAGAATTATTTTTTTGAAAGATTTCTTAGGTTTTGTTTTGTATTGTTGGGAGCGTTGATTTTTTTATCAGCAAATCTAAAACACTTTTGGTTTGGTTCTTTATGGGAAGATGGAGACATTAAAATGTTTTTAAAGAAACAAATTGCTTACAAGGTAGAATAGGACAAAAGATTCTAATATTATCTAAACATTATTTCATGTAAGTGGCAGCGATCTGTTACTGCATATTTTATTTATTTAACTGTTTTATTTGCTCCTATTAACAAATATATCTCAAGGATGCCTAGCTGGCTCAGTCAGTGCAAGATCAAGATCAAGAGCAAGTGCAAGATCAACAGTGCAACTCTTGGTCTTGGGGTTGTGAGTTCGAGCCCACATTGGGTATAGAGATTACTTAAAAATAAAATCTTAAGAAAGAGGTATCTCCAAATGTATCTAGGAAGACAGCCAGTTGAGAGGGGCGAGGGGTAAGAGAGTAAATTGAAAACAAGCATAGGAAGTGAATGACTCCTTAAGTAATGATGGAATCCTTAGCAGCCTTCTCCTAATCTGCCCCCAGATTCCTGGTAGCCAGCTTGTATCCTTCAGGCAGGAGATTGGAGGACTCCCTTCTGGAGAACCAGGAAAATGACAAAAGTGTGTGATTATATTTGTAAATTTATAATCCTGAATCTTGGCATTTTGACCACTTTTAAGTGTACAGTTGAGTGGTAGTGCTACTTAATATTACATTGGCAATGTTGTGCAATCGTCATCACTGTTTTCAAAAGTTTTCATCACCTCAGAGACTCTACCCATTTACCATAACTCCCCATCTCCTTTACCCCTTAACCACTAATCCTTCTTTCTATGGATTTTCTATATCTTGCTCTTTTATTCAGCACAGCTGAGAAGTGCAGGTAAGATTTATTCTGTAAAATATCTTTACAATATATGGTATTTTGCTGCCGTTATCTAGTGTCTGTCAGTGTTAATCTATTGCTGCATAACGTATTACCTCAAAACTTTGCGTCTTCAAACAACAGTTTGTCTTCTAACTATTCTCCAGATAGTCATATTAATTATGGTTTCTGTGGGTGAGGAATTCAGCCCTAAGCTTATGAAGATGATGTGCCTCTGCTCCACGATAACTGGGGCCTTTAATGGAGGACCCCAAGTCTGAGATCTGGAAACATCTTGAGGTTTGTTTACTCACATGTCTGGCAATTGATGATGTCTGTAACCTAGGGGCCTGCCTGGAGTTGTCATCTTGAACATCCACACATGGTTTCTCCATGTGGCCCAGGCTTCCCCACAACATGGTGGCTACACTCCAAACACAGGCAACCCAAGACATAAAGAGAAAGGGATTCAGCAACCAAGTGGAAACCATAGAAGTCACACACACTGTCACTTTCACCGTATTGTGTTGATCAAGATAGTTACAAAGGCCCACCCAGATTCAAGGGAGAGGAACACAGACCCCACCTCTACATTTGGTATGTCATTGTCACATTGTGAGAAGAGCATGTCAAATAGAAGAATTGATGAGCCCATCTCTGGAAATTCAGTGTGTGTCCACTATGGTACCTCCAGCTGGAATTCTCTAAAACAGACTCCTTTAATGTTCCTTTCCTGCTAGCTAAATCACTTGTGGTGATACACATCCTACTTTCTGTAATGCGGAGGTTGAGATTTACACATGGAAAAGAAGATGAAAAACAGAAGACAATGATGGATCTTTTCTTAGAGAAATATATTTTTTGAAAACAAGATAATTATTAAGATGTGTCTGTATGCAATTCTAATTAATAGCTTTAATTCTATTTGAAAAAAATGCTCCCCAGTCAAGAAAATACTTTAATATGAAAAACATTGTTTATGAATACCGTATTTGTAGCTTGGTTATGAAAACATTTTTGTAGGTTCTTGATTGACTTGAGATATTTATACAATCCTCCATTCCCTGACATACCTCTAGAGCACACAGTTTATTGCAGTATAATTTTATTACATAAATTCCATAGCTACGTTACCTAACATCTCTGAAGCTTTAGTGTCCTCATCTAAAATGTAGGGAGAATATTGGCACCTGTCTCACAGAGCTGGCCTGAGGATTAAATGAGTTAATATATGTTAAGCGCTTGGCACCTTGTAAGTGCTAAAAAAAAAAAAAAAGCTAGACACAGGAAGTATATAGATGTGTTAATGATATTCTGCATATATGTATATATGAAGAGTCAGAGCATAATTGAATTCATTTCCAACAAGGTATTCAAAAGATAAAGGAGTATGGTTACTGAAAATAGTGGTTAAGCTGTTTCAATTAGGAAGAACATATTAGATTGCTTCTTAATTTGCTGTTTGTTTTTCCCAGTTTGAAAAAGAAAAACAGCATGATATTCGATCATTCTTTTCACCAAAACCTAAGAAAAGGCAGTTGGTGGCCTCCTGCGATGAACCAGGGATATTCCAGGAGAAAAATACTGTTGTGCCAGCAAACCCTGGAAAGATAGCCACAAGACATAGCATTGATTATGAAAGCAATTTTGAACCTGAAGCTAAAAGATTAAAGTCGGTTACCGACAATGACCACCGCAGTGTCCCAGAGGAGAAGCCATCCTGGCCCAGGCGAACCACGGCTCACGCCCAGGCAGCCACCCGACCCCTTCTTGGAAAAGGCTGGCAGTGTGGCCTCTGCACCTATATCAATAACTCCGTGTTACCATATTGTGAAATGTGTGAGAATCCTCGAGGCGGTGCTGGTGAGTAGATGGAGTGTGGCCCTGGAGGGGGCTGGTGGTGTTGTCTTCATGTAATCGGTGTTTTTACAGGCAACTGCTGTTGTCGAAGGTTTGTGTGACTCGGCACCGACTTCAGCTTTTAAGCTGGAATAAGAACTTTATACAGTGAAGACTGAATTGATCCCCTTGTGGAATGTGCAAAACTCCCAGTTCTGTCAAGAATGTATATCCAGAACGTCTGTGACATGGCATTAGTTTGGCACAAATGGACATTTCTCATTAATGCCAGCAGGATGTGAATTCAGTGGGCAGGAATAGAAGCTCGGTTGCTATGGTAGCAAATATGCCTTATAGTCATAGACCTGCTGTTTTCTTTCTCCTGTAGATAATACTTGTTTTAAAAGAAATTATAGATTGTTTTTGTTTAAATAGCAAAATAATCCAGTGTAGCTCCTTTGCCTAGTACGATATACATGGTGTCCTGTTTCTTGCATGGCAAATCTTAAAAATTCCTCTATAGATCTTCTTTTAAGAACCAATGTTGTAGGCTTTATGAGTTTATTCTTTTCCAAAGCTTGCTATTTTAAAAGTAGAAACTATAAATATACCTCAGAATATGTTTTTATAGCATGAAAGGCCTTTTTCTGATGTTTTGTGTTTGAAACGATTGTTAATACTGAGTCTGTCTTAAGAAAAAAGATCATTAGTATTTCTTATGTTTCCAGTGTTAGAGCCCAAGTTCATGGTAAGTCAAAACGCCACGTTGACAGTTTTGGAAACTGCAAGGAGTCATTTTATCAGCTGTGATCATTGTACACATCTCCTTTCCCATCATAGGTGAATTCTTTAGAGAAGTGACATTAACCAAGAGTCAGATGAGACATGAGCAGTACTGCCTTTCTTGCTTTTCTGTGTCTTAGTTTTCATCTGAAAGAAAATGTAATCAGTAGCTGAGTCTTTCCTCTTTCAATTCTTGGTGTTCCTGCAAAAATGACAAGTCTGCCATCTGGGTGGTTATATTTGTAACGTCAACACCTGTTGTCTGTGAACTAAATAGGAACTACAAGCTTATTCCATATAATATCATAATTTGCATTATCTCATTCAATTTCCAACTACTCTAGGCCGTAAAAATAAAGTATCTCATGACTACAGAATAGTGTCAGTTCACATTAAGTATAAGTTGAATGATTTAACAATGAAAGTCATAGTTTAATAGGGTTTTATATTCTGATTTTCCTTGGTGATACCAAGAGCAACAATGAAAGTTTCAAGACCCATGATTTAATAAGATAACTCTCAAACAACCTAAAGAAAAATAAAACTCCTTCTGTGACTGTTAAAGTCTGATTAAACAGAAGTACAAATTCTAAGTAATAGTGATAATACTGTATATAAAACTTATAATTATTAGATTAGTATTACTGTACTTGGCATAATGATTTCTAATCTTGATTTGGAAGTACCCCCCAAAAGTACTGAAGGGCAGAATTCTAATTCACATGAACTTTTTTTGAGAGACAGAATGAGTGTGAATGAGTGAGGGGCAGAGAGAAAGGGGAGAGAGAGAGAATCCCCCAAGGGGCAAAGAGAGAGGGAGAGAGAGAAGGGGAAAGAGAGTGTGGAGTCTGACATGGGGCTCGAGCTCATGAACTGTGAGATTATGACCTGAGCTAAGTTGGATACTCAACCAACTGTACCACTCAGGTGCCCCAAATTCATCTACATTTTTTAATCAGGGTTTGCCATACAACGCTTTGAGGAAATGGTGGAATCCAAAAAACTAAAGGAGCAATATTAGGAAATTACAGTCCTATAAAGATTGCTACATTTGGTAAATTTTTGTAATAGTATATATTGAACACTAATATTTGTCAATAGGTAACACTTCTTTTGTGCTTCTTTTTTTTTTCTTAAGTAATCCCTATGCCCAATGTGGGGCTTGAACTCACAACCCTGAGATCTAGAGTCGCATACTCTACTAACCAGCCAGGTTGCCCCCTTGTGCTTTGTTCTTAACCTCCATAGTTTTTATTTGGCATCTTACAGCTCATAGGCCCATACTTCTGTCTCTCACTTGAACTGCAGTTTGTCACATGCCTATGCAATATCTCTACCTGGGTGTCTAATGGGTTTGTCAAGGTTAATATGTCCAAGATGGAATTCTTGATTCACCACCACCACACCTAACACCTAAATCTTCTCTTACCTCATCATCCTTACAGTGATGCAGCATCCTTAACTCCTATCTCTCCTCCCACACTTGATTTGTCAAGTTTTGCTGGCATAACTTCTAAAGTGTATCTTGATTCTGGCCACTTTTTCTTTATTGCTTCCATCCTTCTAGAAGCCACCATTTTCTCTCCCAGACCTCAGTGGCATCTCTGCTAGACTCTCCGTGGCCCTTCAGTACACAGCAGTCAGAATGATTCTTTAAAAACCTAGATGATTATATTCCTTTGCCTAGAACCCTTACTGGCTTCCGTTTCTATTTCTGACACGTGGAATGGAATCTCTAGGAAACAAGGACCTATCTCATTCTTCACTGCCTATACAGTACGTACTTGGCATTTAGTGACTCCCAATAAATGTCTCCAGAGAATGAGCAAACATTGTTCACTTTCTTTCTTTTTATAAGACCTAGTTGTAACTTTTTAAAAGCTGGTCTTAGAGTAAGTAATGATTTTATCTAAATTTATGTGTAAATTGTTTGATTTTCATAATTCTACAAATAGATAGCCTCAGCAGTACTCAGGATACAAACGAAAACGGGAAAGGTGATCCTCCGAAAGATACCTCCAGCAAAGCTGAGACTAGTTCTGACTGTGAAAAACAAGGCCTTGCCCCCTCAGAACCTAAACCATTGGCTGAGAGCAAGGAAGAAATAGCAAAAATTGAGAGAGAGGATGGACTCACACCCCAGCCAGGTGATGGTAAGTCTTATTTACATTTCCAGTGTCCAGATGAGAACCATGCACTTAGAGAATACTGTTAGTAGATTTGCTACTACTACCATGTTTTAGGGTCCTTGTATTCCTATTTATATTAAAAATACAACCATTTGGAACCACACCCTAAAACACCAGATGGCTGGAGGAACAAAGCTGTGGACACTCAGATATGACACAGAGAGCAGAGCCGACCTATTGCTTCCCATGCTGCCCTCGGCCCGTGCCCCAGCCTCATTTGACCCAGGTCCTACATGCAGGAGGCAGTGTTTCTGATATTTAGGAGGCTCTTTGGGACAAAACAGTAAAGATCAACAGATTATTAACAGCCACTTGACAGATATTAATCATTTGCACGTGAATTTCTTTTAAATGGCTACAGTTAATTGGTATATTTTAAATGGAGTGTTTTAGGTTTTTTCTTAAGGAAACAATGTCAAGATGGTATGAATCATGACCACACTTGGAACCAGCCATGTAGTGTTTGGATTTATTTACTTTTTGGTTGATTCCATTCATTATGTAGAGCTGTGATGGGTGGCACCTACCAGCCCATATGTCAGATATTACTATCTTTATGGGTTGGCTGCCCAGAGTTTGTGAGTATTTTGGAGTTATTTTCTTTTCCTTTCTTTTCTTTCTTTTTTAAAATTGTTTTAGTAAGAATATTTTGGGGGTTTTTTATTGTTTATTTGACAGAGACAGAGAAAGCCTGAATGGGGGAGGAGCAGAGAGAGGGAGAGAGAGAATCCCAAGTAGGCCCTGTGCCCAGTGCAAGCCCAGCACAGGGCTCAATCTCACAAAACATGAGATCAGGACCTGAGACAAATTCAAGAGTCAGATGGGTAACCAACTGAGACACCCAGGTTGGCCCTTGGGTTATTTTGTTAATCAGTTAGTGAGCATAGTAACTCACAGATTGAGGTTCTCACTATAACAACCCCAAAACTGTTATGAATGGACAGTTGAACTTTTTCTTCTAAATCAGTTGCTAATTTAAAGTCAGCTTCATAGCTTTAAAATGAAATGTTCAGTTAAGAATTTCTGAGCTCAGGGCTTCCTCCTTCCCGCAGCCCTCCTTCCTTCTGATTCCTCAGGTTCTTCTCAAAAAATATCTTGGAATGGCCCCCAGTTTAGGTATGTTAATTTTAACAGTCTTTAGGTGTAGTCTGAGGTGGGGCATTTCTTTCATAACTCTGATTTCCTTCTTCCGGCTCTGACAATGCCTCAAGTGCTGAAGATGTTGTTATAGGACAGCATGGGGCTCACTGAACTAAACAGCAGACCCAGAACAAACAACTGGCAATTGTCATCAACTCCCGGGCCATGAGTCTCTTCATCTGTGACCGGGAAATTCTGGCTTGTTTGTTGTAAATTGGTCCCTTGATGAAGGCATGTTAGCTGTACTTATACATACTTTTCAGAAATCACTAGACCTTTTGAAATTCAGTTCTGCCAGTGAAAATTCCACTGGCCTCATCCACTCCAGACAATGCCAGCTTTTTCCCCACACCTGCCCCCCTTCCTTTTTTTTTTTTTTTTTTTTGACTTATCAGATCACTGGGTTGAGAACTTGATATAAGCGATATGCTTCACATCTCCCCACTAACATGGATTTCCATGGCAAACAAACAGAAGAAAGACAGGAGGCACACTATGTTGAAGTGTTTATTCATTCCACATAAGCTCTTAGACTGGAGTGGTATGTGCTTTGCAGGGACTGTGGGTTTGTTCTAACTGAAATTCCAGGGGTCTAGAAGGATAGTTGGGTCTTCACAAGATGTGTCCTCTGTCATCTCAAACCATTAAATTACATTTCAGGAAAACAATGAAAAGAGAAATACATTCCCCCATGTAGCCGCTAGCTACCAAGAATATTAGCTGATTTGGAATCAATCCTATAATGCTTTTTATCAAAGAATGACTTCTGATCTTTAAACATGAATCCATTAACCATAGCTCTTCAGAAAATCTGAAGACAGTGATTATACATTGCATTGATATTTATGTACATTAAGAAAGAAAATCTAAAAGTTAAACTATGACTTAATATCTTAATGACAGCCCAGACCAGCTCAGAGCACCCTCTGTTGCTTTGCCATTTCCTTCATTTGCCCTGAGGGAGGTGGCAGTTTCTTGGCATGTGCTAGGCAGCCCGTTTGCACATCACAGTATCCAGATGTGAGAGAGTGCCCGCTATCTGCAGGGATCTCCTTTGCTCAGGTCCCATGAAGCACTGGCTTATTCTTTTGCAAGAATATAAAAAACATTGGCTGTTCCTCCAGTGATACATATTTACTCCTTTAAATATCAAATTTATGCTCCACTGCTTTATATCCAAAATTTTTCGTATACATGATAGCTTCTCATTTCAATACCAAATCAGAGTGAAGCATTTTGAAGACACTTTACAGGTAATTAAACTCAACTCATGTAGTAACAACAAAGCACTTGACTCGAGCGTGGTGTTAAAGTAACAACACCGCTGTAAGTCACGACTAAGCCTCTGCATGCTTGGGCCATGCCAGCTACCTCACAACTGCCACCTGGCCAGCAATGATTGTAAAATGGCACGCTTACTACCTGTCAGCTTGCCAGTTTCAGAGATGTTAACGTGTGGGGAAAATGGACATTTTTGAATTCATGAAATACAAGAATACTCCCAAGTTTGTAAAGTGACCAGTGCCTTGAGTAGAAAAATTAAAATATGATGACATTGCCAAGTAGAATGAGAAAGCATAGACTTCCAGATCTGGGGAAATACTTTAGAAGGTCACTGAGGGAAAAATAAAATAATCATAATCATAAAGTCATTTAGGAACTGTGGCAGAGGTTAAGGGCACAGGCTCCGTAGCCACATGACTGGCCTTAAGTCCTCTTACTGGTCGTGTGACCTTGGGCATGCTAATGTGCCTTAGTTTTCTTCTCTGTAAAATGCAGTACTTATTTCTGAGAGACGTTAATATTTATACTTAGAACAATGCCTGGCACATTGTAAGGACTTGATAAGTGTTAACTATAATTATTATTTAGATCCACTTTGATAACCCTGTCTCCCCTACAGACTGTATTGGTCAGTGAGACCCAGAAGTGATCAATAAAAGGAGATTATCAGAAAAAGAGCTCGTGCACATCTATCTCCTTTTGTGAATGTGAAGCACCAGGTCATAGGGAACCCGGCATTCAAAGGGCCACTCACAAAGCTGATTGCTGCCAAACCAAAATGGTGCTCCTTCTGTCTCCTAAAACCACTCTAACTAAATGTCTACATTTTAGACTCCCTCAAGACTGATAACAACTCTTGGTGGCAGGAAATTCTCCCTCATACCTAACTCCTATCTTCTCAGATAATTCTCAATTTGTTTCTCTCTTGTGGGATCATTAGCAAAAGTGCAAAGCAACTGGTTCCCATATAGGACACTATGGTCTTAGATGGCCTGCCATGGTAGTTTTATTTCAAGCCCAGACACATGTCCTTTGTGAAATATGATGATATAGTTTATATAGCTCTTCCATCTTTCTAATCCACAAAAAAGATTAAAATAAGCTATTTTGCATAGATAGGAGTTAAGCCTTCAGGTTCTTTTTTATCTTCTCTATTAGAACAGTTGAAGATTCCAGACAATCTGCCAGTATACGACACCTTAATGTTCTGTGCAAGTAAGAATACTGACCGGATTCACCTCTATACTAAGGTAAGCATCATGCGGATTCTACAGCTTAAAATGTGCAGAAGCCTTCCTTTTTTTCCATGTGTCAGTGGTGATAGTTACTTTTATTAACAATGAGATAGGCATCTAGTTCTTTTTCTCCTTACTAATTCTAACATTTCTTTGTTAAATCTAAAGACAGTGAGAGGCAAAACAGCATAGTAGTTAAGAGCATAGACTTCAGGGCCAGACTGCCTCAATTCACATCTGTTACTGAGTGTGGAATCTTAAACACATTACTTAACTACTCTGTGCCTCACTTTCTTCAACTTGAAAACATGGAAAGGAGTTGTTACAAGGGTAACATGAGCTAATTCTTATAAATCACTTAGCACTGTGCCTCGCCATAAGGAACTCTCAGTAAGAGTTAGCTCCTAGATTTAGTACATACACACACCCACACACACAACATACATGCGTGCATGCCGCATCTACACAATGGCTACACTATGCAGCCATAAAAAAGAATGATTTCTTGCCGTTTGCAACACCATGGATGGACCTAGAGTATGTAATGCTAAGTGAAATAAGTCAGAGAAAGACAAATACTGCATGATTTCACTTATGTGTGGATTCTTAACAAAACAAATGAACAAACAAAGCAGAAACAAACCCATAAATCAGAAAACAAACTGGTAGTTGCCAGAGGGGAGAGGGATGGGGGGTGCAAAAAACGGGTGAAGGGGAGTGGGAGGCACAGGCTTCCAGCTATGGAATGAATAAGTCACAGGGATGAAAGGTACAGCACGGGGAATGTAGCCAATATCACTGTAGTTAGAGTGCTGTGTGGTGACAGACGGTAGCTGCAATTGGGGTGAGCACAGCATACTACACTTGATCTTGGCCAAAAGGGCAAGAAATGATTGGTGAGCACAGCAGGATGTACAGACTTGTCAAATCACCATGGTGTACACCTAAAATGGACGTAACGTCGTGTGTCAACTGTACTTCAAAAAAGACAAAGTTCTCTCCTTCACGGATCATTAGTACCAGCAGCAGCATCTTTGCAGAAGCCAAACTCTGCCCATCTGTGTTGAGTAGATTCTAGGAAGCTTTAAAAACATGATTGCTTGGATTTGTGCCCTGACATAGGTTGGTGGTCCTCAAGCTTTTCAGGCTCAGGACCACTTTGTACTTTTCAAAGTTGTCGGGAACCCCAAAGGGCTTTTGTTTATGTGGGTTATAGCCATTGACATTTACTACATTTAGGTGGAAACACTTAAAATATTTATTGAGGGTCGTAATAATAAGCCCATTATTGATATTCTTGTCAATAGCTTATTTTTATGAGACATCTTATTTTTCTGAAACAAAGATAACATTTAGGGAGGAGAGTTGGCATTGTTTTACATTTTTAGCAGTTTCTCCAGGCTCTTAATAGAAGACACTAGGACTCTCCTCTCTGCCTATCCCGGGAAACGTCACCATGCATTTGTGACAGAATGAGGGTGAAAAGTGCAAATACCGTTTTACTGTTCTTATGAAAATGCTTGGCCTTTGTGGATCCCCTGAAGTGATCTCAGGGGCCCTGTGAGAATCCTTGGCTTAGGTAAACTAGTCTCAGTATTTGAGGAAAAACTTGCTGAGATTATGAGTACTTCCATTTGGTCCACATGCTGAGATTATGAATACTTCCTTTTGGTCCACAGTATTTCTAACCATTATAATCATTATAAGTATAATAAAATAATATTTGTACCTTTTTCAATTCATGGGCCAGCCTATTGAAAGAACGCCTTTGTCAAGATAACTTGGTTACAGGTTTTATACTAAACCAAGTAGATATAGAGAGATGTGGTGGCCATGTAATCATCTCAGTTCTAACTAATAACTAGAAGGGATTGCTAGAATATAAGGAGATGACTAGGATCATGAATGCCAGAAGCCCCGTGCAGCCTCTGCCGTGGGACCACAGCCAAGAGAGGGAGACCAGGAATGAATCCGGGAGTGACAGCGTTCTTCTTCAAGGCCTGGACTCCCGTCCACCATGTGGACCCTCTCAGCATGGAGGGAGCGCCTAAGCATCCTCTGCTCATCTGGAGATAAGTTCGACTGCCTGGGACCCCTTCACCCCAGTGTGGGGAGGGCTCCTGGTTATGTTTCTCAGACCATTACATGAGGATAACACAGAACTTCAGTCCCCAGAAGGGAATGAAGGTCAGAAAACCAAAAGCAGACACCAGGCCGGATACAACCCAGGAATTCAGAAGCCCTGAAACTCCTTAAACTTTCTACTCTGTGCAGTGGAAACCTACATCCTGGATCACCTGGTCAATGTTTTCCCTCTTTGGGTGGAGACAGGGGAGAAGCTGCAAAGTCCTGGAGTGACAGCCTTGCTGACCCATCTTCCGGCTCCACCACCCACCCTGCATCGCGTGGGCCACCTCATCTTTTTGACATCTCTCTTAATAGCCTCAAGTGCATTTTTATGACTGTGCAAAATGCCTGCATGTCCCTTTAGCATAAAATTGATTCAAGTAATCTCTAAACATGACACACGAAGCAGAGGGAATGTTAACAGGTCTTCTCACAGCTATAAGGTGAGCTGAGGTGAATCTGGAGGTAGGACTCTGGAGAAAAACCCCAGCACAATGCCTAAAAGCACTCCCCTTAAAAGGAAGATCATTAACAGATGTTTACATCCTAGGTTGTAGTAACAGTATCCCTCTAAAGAGCTGTTGGTTTCAGCGAGAACCCCAAGTCTGATTCAGAGTTCAGAGTAACTGTTGCACATCTAAATTCTGAGTCCATGTGTTAAGTACTTTTTGTGTGTTTTTTCCAAAGTGATTATGGGAGCTGTAACTTTGTTTTCAGCTGAGAGAAATGGGATAGGAGTCCAGCTGTTGTTGATACAATAGATTTTCATATGCAGAGGTTTTTCTTCCCCCCTTTAAAAGACATACTCCTGCTTAAACCTCATGTGTAACTGACTAAGCCCTCTCCCTGGTATTTTTTACCCTTAGAGAGAAAGCAGTGAAGGCATTCGGAGGGCACTGGAGAGCCCGGCCCTTCTCTCCACTCAGCATGCTTGTGAGGAACTGTGTGTGGGTAGAATCTTGTTGCAGTGCGACATCCCAGTTTATCTTTTAGGAAACAGGGAATATTGTGCCATTGTATAATTCTTTACTTTTAAAATAATCAGTAGTGCCTACAGACAAAACGGATTAATCATGCCTTCCTAATCTATAATCAGGATGGAAACCAGATGAACTGTAACTTCATTCCTTTGGATATAAAATTAGACCTTTGGGAAGATTTACCAGCAAGCTTTCAGCTGAAACACAATCGCTCCCTGGTAAGAAGAGTCCTCTGCGTATGTTTTAAGTTAAAGTGTGTTGAGTACTGTATAAGGCCACTCTGAGTTTCATGAAAGCACCTTGTGGCCTGTTGCAGAGTCACATCACCAGGCACATTTTCATCGGTGCAGGCACTGCCTCCTAATTCCCTTGGCGCTAGGAAGAACTGTGAAATCTGTTTCCTGGGTGAGCGATCACACCTAGCGTTGCTGTTTCTGTTGATAGGGTCATCCTCACATTGTTGGATTTCTCCTTCACAGCATTAGCAACCGTGCTCTCTGTACCTGACAGTGCCCCCGTTTATCTCTGACAATTAACTTCTAACAGTGACAAATTCTGAGAGCTGGCATGGTGCCGTGGTGGGCGACTCCTGCTCCTTTGGAAGCAGCAGCATACGGCTATAGGCCACGCACCTGCTCTGGAGGCCTTAATTCGGATCTGTGGCTGATTTATCCTCAGCACTGAGAAGCATCAGCACATGCAGGGGCTGACAGCATGCAGTCTGCCGTTTTTTGTTTTTTGTTTTTTAACATTTATTTATTTTTGAAAGACAGAGAAAGCATGAGCAGGGGAGGGGCAGAGTGAGGGAGACACAGAATCCGAAGCAGGCTCCAGGCTCTGAGCTGTCAGCACAGAGCCCGATGCAGGGCCCGACCGAACTCACAGACTGTGAGATCATGACCTGAGCCGAAGACGGACGCTCAACTAACTGAACCACCCAGGAGCCCCAGTGTGCCACTTTTTACGAGAAAATAGTGATTTTGTTTTTGCCCTTTGGGTGGAAATCAAACATTGCCCGTGAGTCAGCTACACTTGTTTTAAACAAAAAGGTAGCAGAGAGTTATTTTCTTTGGTATCATTTCATCCTGATTCTCAGATTCCCAGGAAAGGACCGGTTACAGATAATTGACTAGTAAGTAAGAACATTACCCTGGTAAAAATGTTCCAGGTTTATTGACGGCTGTTTTGCTGTGATAACTTAGGTAGTTGGGTAACCAGGCAGTTCTCAGATGTTGCCTCGAAACCAGCCAGCCTGTAAGACCCCCTCCCCACGCCCAACTCTGCCGCAGCCACTGCTGGGTGTGTGCTTCTGAGAGACAGGCACCTCTTGGTCACACTGGGCACATTATTGCCATTGGTCCCTATGTGCATTAAGGACATTCGCTGGGGCGTCCTGAAATGTGTCTTTGGGTTGAAAGAGAACTGGCCATTGATACTTTACAATAAGATAGGAAGACAGCATCAGTCTGAAGAAAGCCTTAAACTGTGACATTCAGAAGCCTATTTGGGAGATATAATAAAGCATCAGTTTTCTGATGTGATAAGTGGCTTTACTTTCAAAGGAAGATGCCTGGTGAGCCATTAGCTCTTTTCATTGTCTCATTTTCTGCCAGATTTTAAGGTTTGTTCGAGAATGGAACAGTCTAACTGCCATGAAGCAAAAGATAATCAGGAGAAGCGGGTGGCTGTTCTGTAGCCCAATTCTTGCTTTGGAGGAGATCACAAAGCAACAAACCAAACCACATAGCACTAAAAGGTATGAGTTGTCTTTCTTCTTTATTTTGGATTTTATTATTTTGTCATTCTACAGGGAAGGAAGTCTGACACTTTTTATGTAACCACTCATGAAATCCTGATGAGTTAAGAGAAAATTAAACATAAAACAGTCTCTTATTTTATAACAACATAACTAGATGTTTTGTGAATTTGATCAAATCCACTAGAAAACATCAGGCTGACCGGGTCTTGGTCACCATGAGTCCCGCTCATCAGGAAAGAGGCTAGAGTCACAGGCCGGTGTGTCCTGTGACCCACCAGGCCTGGGCCAGTATTGAGCAACAGGAAGACATCTCCCTAGTGGGAGAGGGCCCAGGTCTGGGTGCCGTGCGGCAAGGAAGCTGGTTCTGTTTGACACGCCATCGCGCAAAGGGTGGGAGGTGACAGTTACGGTGGGGGGAAGGGGGCAAGGAAAGGTTTCGTGTCTCATGCCTGTGGAATTGTTTTGCCCTTTATCATTACAGGTTTGTTTGTTTATTTTAATTTTTTTAATGTTGATTTATTTTTGAGAGAGAGTGAGAGAGTGGGAGGGGCAGAGAGGGAAAGAGACACAGAATCTGAAGTAGGCTCCATGCTCTGAGCTGTCAGCACAGAGCCCAATGCGGGTCGCAAACCCACGAACCGTGAAATCATGACCAGAGTCTAAGTCGGCACTTAACCAACTGAGCCACCGAGGTGCCCCACAGGTTTCTTTCTAATCTCTGTATACTTACTTTTTCGGCATCAGAATCTTCTCTGCCCCGCTCAGGTGTCCCCTTATGTGAGCTCAGTCCCCATAGCCTGTAGACTCTTCCCTCAGTGGGAAGGAGTGATTCTCAATTAGCAGTTCTGTGGCCCAGCAGCCGCGTGGCCAAAGACACCCCTGTGGCTCTTGCCAACTGCATACACCTATAATCTGCCTTCATCCTCACATCCCATCAGTTACCATCTCTAGCGTTTTCCGTGCACACAGGTGAAAATCATCCATCAGGGATAGGTGAGAGGATGTACTTAGTCAAACAGCTTGTCTCCCTAGACAGTGAAGCATCTCTTCAGCTGTTTCCAGATGTGGCCTGTGGTATATCCATATGTGAGAAAAAGGAGTGATACTTGTGATAAGTTATGAAGGAGAAAAATAAATATAACAAAGAATGGAGACACAACTATATGTAATTGCCACTGGGACATAGGAAGTGTCTGGAAGGGTATCCTAGAAACCCTACCAGAGTTTTCTCTAAGACAGTAGCTCTTAGCTGGGCGGCGGGGGGGTAGTGTTAAGAAGCATTTTAGTTTGTTAAGATTAGTGGATACAACTGGGGAACATCCAGAGGCTGGAGACCTGGGATGCTGCTCAGTGCCCTACAGTGAACAGAACTGCACTTAAACAATTATCTGTTGCAAAATGTCATTAGTGCCCTTGTTGAGGGATCTTGCTCTAGACCATGTGATCGGGGATTTGTGGAGATGATGGGAACTTTATACTTTACGCCTGGATCACAAACTCCTATGACTAAAAGCAAAGCAGGAACCATAAATGAACAAATGAGATCAAGTGTAAAATCAGAAAAGGTTGAGGTAGGATGTAGAAATACAGTAGATCGGAATGTGTATAACCCATCTGACATCATTCAAATTCTGGCTAAAAAATAAAATGCTGTATGAGTTGATGAAAGCCCTGTGACTAGTTGAATCTGTCCATGAGCTGCCAGTTTCGGACTCACCTAAACTCTTCTGCACTGCTTAAATTGTTCCCACGAGTGTGTATTACTTTATATAAGAAATACATTTAAAATACATGTATGCATTGATAATATATACATACACACACATGCACACACCCCTCATACAGATACCCACTCATGTGTAACAAAAAGCAGATTGCCTGTTAATTTTCTCAGGACTTCTGGTGGTCCTCTCCATTTCCTCATTGTCACAGCCACCATCTTAGTTGAAGTATTGGTCTTCTCTTTACATGACCATAGTTTCCTTCTTAACTGAATTTACAACACTCCAGTCATTTCTAGACATGTCACATGGTTTCCTCTCCATCAGACATGGGTGGCCACTTAAAGAACTACCTGAGAAAGACCAATCAGGTGTAAAAGCAAAAGTCATGAAATCAATACAAACCAAAGTCAGACATACGGTATTATCTATAACATTTTATGTGGATGATATAGGAAAGTTAAAACTGTGTTAAGCAGCATGGGCAGTAATTGGATGTGTGTTTTTAAGAGGTTGCTCTATGGGTGCCTGGGTGGCTCAGTCAGTTAAGCGTCCGACTTCGGCTCAGGTCATGATCTCACAGTTCTTGGGTTCTAGCCCCACGTAGGGCTCTGTGCTGACAGCTAGCTCAGAGCCTGGAGCCTGTTTCACATTCTGTGTGTGTGTCTCTCTCTGACCCTCCTCTGCTTGCGCTGTCTCTCTTTGAACCTCAAAAATAAAATAAAAAACAGTTTAAAAAAATTTAAGAGTTTGCTCTAGCACAGTTGGAAGATGAGATCAGAAGAGCAGACTTGTAGGTGCCTGGGTGGCTCAGTTGGTTAAGCATCTGATTTTGGCTCAGGTCATGATCTCATGGTTAGTGGGTTCGAACCCCACATTGGGTTCTGAGCTGACGGCTCGGGGCTTGGAGCCTGTTTTGGATTCTGTGTCTCCCTCTCTCTCTGCCCATCCCCCACTTGCGCTCTGCCTCTCTGTCTCTTAAAAGTGAATAAACGTTAAAAATTTTGTTTTAGAAAAAAAGCAGACTTGAGGGGCACCTGGGTGGCTCAGTCAGTTAAGCATCCGACTTAAGCTCAGGTCTTAATCTAGTGGTTTATGAGTTCGAGCTCTGCATTGGGCTTCTTGCTGTCATCGCAGAGCCCACTTCAGATCCTGTCTCTTCTCTCTCTCTCTCTCTCTCTCTCTCTCTCTCTCTCTCTCTCTCACTGTCTCTCTCAAAAATAACCTTTTTTTAAAGAGCAGGCTTGAGGTAGGGAGGCAAGTTGCATTAGTTATCTATTATTGCCTTAACAAATTACCACAAACTTAGCACCTTAAAGCAACAGACATGTATTATCTCACAGTCCTGTAAGCCAGAAGTCTGAGATGGCTCTGCTGGTTTCTCTGCTCTGGATTTATAAAACTGAATTCAAAATGTTGGCTGGATGGATTCTTAACTGATAGTCTGGGAAGACTCCATTTCCATGCTCATTTGGGTTGTTGACAGAATTCAGTTCCTTGTGATTGCAGGACTTGGGTTTTCTTGCTAGCTGTAAGGGTGGGGGCCATCCTTAGCTTCTAGAGACTTCTTTGGAGTTGTAGCATGTGGGTTCCTACATCTCAGGGCCAGCAGTGGTATGTCAGATCCTTCTCATGCTTGGAATTGCTCCCTTTCTTAAAGTCAGCTGATGACTAACCTTAATTATATCTGCAATGTCCCTTTACAACATTACCTAGATGAGTGATGGACTGAATATCAGAGACAAGAATCCTAGAGAGTAATTGTTAAGGATACTGCCTCCCACACAAGTTAAAAGACTGCTATAGTAGAGCTGGGGGGGATAGATGAAGACTTTGTTTTTTAAGAATTTTTTTTTAAGTAATCTACACACAACGTAGGGTTCAAACTCACAATCCCAAAAGTTGCATTGTCTACTGACTGAGCCGGCCAGGTGCCCGTGAAGACTTACTCTTAAGGCAGGAGCAATGGGAATGGAGGAAGGGGGATGAAGAGAGGCCTTAGTGGGTAAATCTAGACACTCTGGTCACTGATCAGAGGAAGAAAAAAGAGCAAAGGCTCCAGGGAAATGGACTTCGCAGAGCCATGAAAATAAAACCTGTGCGCCTGCAGAGAAGTGTGCTTTGGGCAAGCGGGCCAGTTCTTGTGGAGAATCCCAGCAAGTCTCAGGGAATCGGAGGAACGGTCTCTCTCTGAAAGCAAGTGCGAAAGATGGGGCTGCCCAACAGCACTGGCTGGACGTCTGTATGAGGAGCAGGTAGACACTGGATGCCTTGCCATCCCCCTGTCCTTCCCGTTGACTTTCTAGAGAAACTGCACCAGGGAGGCATCAGCCTTGGAAAACCAGGCCTAGTGGTGATAAAGGGAGAGGCGTTCTATTGGAAACCAGCACTCCCCAGGCCCCCTTCTCTACTTCCAAAATTCTAGGAGGCATATTTTACTTCTTAGCAAAAAATTAGAGGATTCCTCTCTGAAAAAATGGAATGGCCTTAGAATCAAGACACGTAGATACTGATTTTAAGCAATGGCTAGATATCCAGCCAGATTATCCTGCATTGACTTCCACCAGTTCACAGGACCCGTCCAAGTTCAGAGTTTGCACTTAGGTTTTGAACAGCTCAGTCTTAAATGTTAATGAAGCCAAAATCACCAGCCATTGTTTCTGCTGCTGAGTTCCCATTTGTCAGAGGCAGGCCTGCTCTCCTGGGAGCCCTGTTAGGTTTAGGATGCCACCTCTTTTGTTTTGACCCCCAACAAGCAGGTCAGCAACCTAGAACCCAGCACCGTTTTCACTGTTGTGGGCCACTTTCCAAAACACTCTTCTCTTCTTGCAAAACTTGCCATCCTCCACTGCCATCCCCATCCGGGAATTACTACTAATTAGTAGACAACATTCTCCCTTCCCTATTTTTTTCAAAATTGAGATTTACCATAATCCTTTTGAGAGGTGTTATACTTACATCAACTTCCTAGCAAACCTCAGTGGAAAATTAAATGTTGGTAACTCACAACCATGTTTGAAAAGTTGCCGACGTCCTGCTTTGGGTTTGATTGATCTGTTTCTTATGGCTTTCAGAATTTTGTGCTTAAATCTCTTGTAGGAAAGGTTATTTTTAGTTCTTAAATCTCTGAATAGATTTCTCAGCATCTTTTGAATTTACTGAATTAGGATTCTAAGCTTTTAAACATTGAATAATACCTGAGGCAAGGCTTAGTATCCCCTTGCCCCTCAAAGCTAGGAAGTGTTTGAGTTCATTAGAATCCACTGAAATACTTTAGTGAAGTGCTGTTGTCAAGGGAATAAAATGGTTGAAGAATTGGGGGATGGAGGGATGTGGGAAGTTTTGAAACCCAAAGGGCAAGCTAGAGAATTCTAAAAGAATTTTTTTTTTTTCTTTTTGCTTTAAGAACAAAACACCAGTAGAAATGCAAATATATGAAAAGAGTCACTCTTACTCTTAGTAGGAGAAATGCAAATTTAAAGCCAAAATGAGATAGGTATCATGATTAGCAGAGATGTTTTTAATGGATATGTCTTGTTGATGGGGTTTTGGGGTGATGGTGGGATTCGGAGCTGATGACCAAGAAAGAATTCTTGAAGATGTCTTTCGTGCAAAAAAAGTGATTTTATTAAAGCACAGGGACAGGACCCGTGGGCAGAAAGAACTGCACTGGGGTTGTGACGGGCAACTCATTATATACCCTCAGGTTGGGAGGGGGTTAGGGACAGCATAAGTCTACAAGGAATTTTGGAAGCAAAGTTTCCAGGACCTTGAGGGGCTATCTGTTGTTAGGAAAACGCCATTTATTACCATTTAGTAAAGCCTCAGTCATGAGACCCTTCAGATGTGTATCAGGGGACCATAAGCTTGTAGTATGATTGCCAGCAATGTATCTTCGGGGAGTTGAGATAAAGGAAATTTCTTTTTTTTTTTGGAAATCAATTTTTTTATTTTTTTTTTTTTACAAATAGTTTATTGTCAAATTGGTTTCCATATAACACCCAGTGCTCATCCCCACAAGTGCCCTCCTCCATGCCCATCCCCCCCCACATCCATCAGTCCTCAGTTTTTGTCAGCATTCAAGAGTCTCTCATGGTTTGCCTCTCTCCCTTTCCCCCACCATTTCCGCCCTTCTTCTCCCCCTTGTTGCTCCGTCAAGTTCCTCCTAATCCTCCTATACGTGCAAACATATGATATTTGTCCTTCTCTGCCTGACTTATTTCGCTCAACATAACACCCTCAAGGTCCATCCATGTTGCTACACATGGCCAGGTTTCATTCTTTCTCATTGCCATGTAGTATTCCATGGTATAGATAAACCATATCTTCTTGATCCATTCGTCCGTGGTTGGACACTTAAGCTCTTTCCATGTTTTGGCTATTGTAGAGAGTGCTGCTGTGAACATTGGGGTACATGTGCTCCTATGCATCAGCATTTCTGTATCCCTTGGGTAAATTCCTAGCAGTGCTATTGCTGGGTCATAGGGGAGTTCTATTGTTAGTTTCCTGAGGAACCTCCACACTGTTTTCCAGAGGGGCTGTACCAGTTTACATTCCCACCAACAGTGTAGGAGGGTGCCCGTTTCTCCACATCCTCGCCAGCATCTAGAGTTCTCTGATTTGCTCATTTTAGCCACTCTGACTGGCGTGAGGTGGTATCTCAGTGTGGTTTTGATTTGTATTTCCCTGATGAGGAGGGATGCTGAGCATCGTTTCATGTGTCTGTTGGCCATCTGGATGTCCTCTTTGGAGAAGTGTCTGTTCATATCTTCTGCCCATTTCTTCACTGGGTTGTTTGTTTTTCGGGTGTAGAGTTTGGTGAGTTCCTTATAGATTTTCGATATTAACCCTTTGAGATAAAGGAAATTTCTAAAGGAATTTTTATATGTTAAAGTAGACGTACATGATCCTGGGGCCGGGGGGGAGAAGTCAGGATAATGTTAAGCCAAGATTCCCTTTTGCCTCAAGCAAAGTGTCATCATCGAGGCAGCTGAGCTCCTAGAGGGACTCTGCTTGCTTCAAGGACTTGTCACTGGGCTTTAGGCAGTGAAGGAATTTAATTCTTCATCTGGCTTTGTTTCTCACATCACCCTGGCAGGCACTTAATCCCCCTTATATCTTGATGAGGGTGATGTTAGGGCTCCAGGAAATGGAGTCTATAGGTTTCTGGAGATTAGGCTATGGATAAGATTGCCTTTTTCTTGCAGTTTACTAAGTTATCCATAAACTGAAGGAGACTCCTGTCCTGCATAACTGTGATCTCTGTCAGTCAACCATTTGTTCTCCTTTCCTCTCCCCTGTTCTTGGGCAGCCAGCAGTGTCCGAGGAATATCACACATGTCCCACCAGGCGGGGTTGGGGGGTGCTCTTGACCTGTACTTTGCCTTCAGCTCGTCCCACACTCCCTCACAATTGTGCTAGTATAGATGTGAGGAAACAGGTACTTCCCTGCATTGCTGGTGGACTTTCCTATTGATTGGTACAAACCCAGAGGAGAGAGCAATGTGTCAAAATCTGTTCACATTTAAAGCACCCAAGACCTTTGACCCAGCAATTCTGCTTCCAAGAACTTCTTCTTAATGGAAGGATATTACAACATTGTGATAGCAGAGACTAGAACAACCTAAATGCCATTAATCAGAAACTGGTTAGGCCTCCTGGGTGGCTCAGTCGGTTAAGCGTCTGACTTCGGTCATGATCTCACCCTTCGTGGGTTTGAGCCCCGCGTCGGGCTCTGTGCTGGCAGCTATGTCAGAGCCTGGAGGCTGCTTCAGATTCTGTGTCTCCCTCTCTCTCTGACCCTCCCCTGCTCACACTGTCTCTCTCTTTCTCTCTCTCAGAAATAAGACAATAAAAAATTTTTTTAATTAGAAAAAAACTGGTTAGACATATTGTTCATTTAAATAATGGAATTACATGCAGTCATCAAAGAAATAGGACAACCCTTGTATACTGATATGGAAAGATCTCAGAGATGTATCTGTAGGCAAAAAAAAAAAAAAAAAAAAGCAAGGTTAAGATTACTGTGTGTACTGTGCTACCATTTGTTTTTAAAAATAAAAAGTATAATGAGGAGTGACTGCTAATGAGTACAGGTTTCTTCTTGGGGTTGATGAATATTCTGGAATTAGTGATGATGGTTGGACAACCTTGTGAGTATACTAAAATGCACAGAATTGTAAACTTTAAAATGGTAACTTCAATGGTATATGAGTTCTATGTCAGCAAAAATACAGAGATCATAAAAGGTATAACCTATGCACAGAAAAATATTCTCTCAAAGGATGTATTAAAAACTGCTCATAGAGATAGCTTTGGGGGAGGGGATAAGACTGGAAGATAAACATAATCTTCGCCATAAACACCATTGCATGCCTTTTGAGTTTTGATATATGTGCATGTATCATCTAATCAAAACATTAATAGTTTATAACAAGAAGTAAATCTGTTGATTATTAAATCTACCATAAAAGCAAATTTCTAAGATTTTACCTAAGATTATACTCCATTGTGATTTAACCTTAATTTTATTGTCAAGCTAGCAAACTAAGAAGTACTTGGAAATATGAAGAAATTCGTGTTTAAACTAATTAAAAAGAAGAAAAAAACTACAAAAGTGTAAACTAGCAGAGAAAGTGGGCCATGCTAATTAGAGGGAATTAATTGGGTAATTGCATTTTACCTGCTTAAATTCCCCTGTCACCTTTAATTGGAATAACTATTCTCTTTACTTCCAGTCCCTAAACCATTGTGTGGTATTGATAGTGTTGTGTAAGAAGGTTCTGAATCCCACATCAAGAGTGGCTTTATTTAAGTGGAAGATTCCATAAACCCTGTATGGCTGATAATAATGGAAACAACCTTGGGATTATAGAAATTGTGATTGAACTTGGTTAACTAAAAAGAGAATCACTTAACCAAGTATGCTGATACACCATTATAACTGATCGAGGTGACTTGAGGAACCTTGAAGCAAAGGCCCAAAGGCAGGTAAAAATGCAGTGAAAGATTATCCACACAGCTTGACAAGGTGTTTACTCAAGGCTGTCAGTTGTGCGTATATTTGATCACTTGTGATTCCTACACCCACTCCTCTTGTTCCCTAAGTGTAAATTGGTCCAAAGGATATTAAGTGACCCTTGAATGTCTTAGAAAAATAAATCTTAAGAAAACTAATTTGGAACAGAGGTATCTTTCCCACACATGGAGACCAGTGTTAGGGTAGAAAATTCCATGCCCTAACTTTAGTATTAGCACAATGAAAACCCCTATCTTGCTTTTTCTCCTATTGCTTTTATAAGGAGTAATGTGAGCATGAAATAGAGAAACGCTTGAGGAGAGAGAGGAAATCTACTCACCATGTAATTGTTTTAGATACATCACCAAAGAAGATGTTGCTGTAGCCTCACTGGACAAGGTGAAGAATGATGGGGGCCATGTTCGTCTGATCACAAAGGAGACCAGGCCACAGGACCCTTCTACAAAGTAAAATTTCATTTACTAGTAGGACATAGTAGTACTGTGTGTACTCCTTTAAATTTTTTTATTTAATGTTTGTAATCATACTTTACCTTGATATGGCCACCTTACCGGTTAGAAAGAGCTTTCACAGTATGGTAACTCCTGCACCCTCCTAGCAGCCCTATGAAGAATTGGATGTCCTCACCTTAGAAATTAGAAGGACCCTCAGACCAGGTGGACTAAGTGGTGTGCCCAAAACCATTAGATGCTAGGAGACCTGAGGTCCAGTCTGGGCTCTGCTTCCCAGTCATGAGCTTTTTCTGTCACAAGGAGTTTTTCTTTTAATGCTTCTAACAAACAGCCATGAAAAAAAGGCAAGCATTTGTTGTAATTCCATGTAGGACTTTTCAACATAATTGAGTCATGTACCTTTTCCTTTTATCTTAGCAAATTTTTAAAAAATTATAATAATCAATTGAGTGCATGTTCTGTTTCATTTCTAACTTTGATTCAGTCAACTCTGAGTTTACCTGGAAGAGGCACATACTTAGCAAGTCTAATGTTGATAGCTCCTGTCCACACTGCTAACTTCTTGGCTCTGTCACTGTATGGATGTGACTGTTTCTGGGAGGCCAGCAGATGCTCTCAGAGAGTGTCATGGACACCTGAGTAATGGCCTCTCTGCCCTAGTGAGGTCTGTGGCCCAACACATGTAGAGCACGGTAGCACCAGCTCCAGCTGGGATTTTACATTGGCCTGTCCTTTCCCAGCTGGAAGAAGCATTTTTTAGCTTCTCATTTTCCAACTTCTCCAGATGTTTCAGTCTGATTGTTTAACTTGAAGATACATAAACTCCCAAGAGAGGCAGCATATCTGCATTGAAATGAATTTTTTTAACACACCACTCTTTCCTTCATTTGGCACGGAGCATCGAGTGCTGACTGTGGCTATTTTCATTTCCACACTCAGTCACAGAATCCATGGGTCCTACATTTACTGGTTATCAGTATTGAAATTTTAAAGGCTGTTACAGGAAGTAGTGATTATTTAGACTAGTGTACGTGTTCATTAGTTAATGTTTTGTTCACTTCTAGAAAGTTCCTTGATGATGGAGTATGTGCCCCATTTCTGAATCCCTGCATAACCCAAGCAGATCTCACTGTGAAGCATTCTGTATCCAAAGGCTATCTGCAAGCTGTGGATAATGCAGGAAATCCACTTTGTCTTCTCTGTCAGCAACCTACTTGCCAAACTAAGCAAGAGTGTAAAGTGAACACTTGGGAGTCACGGTTTTGCTCTCTGAACTGTCAAGAAGAGTTTTGGATTCGTTCTAATAACAGTTACCTGCGAGCCAAAGTATTTGAAATTGAACACGGTGTGTGTCAGCTATGTAACCTAAATGCACAGGAACTCTTTCTCCGTCTGAGAGATGCCCCCAAAAGTCAGAGGAAGACTCTTCTGGATATTACCTGGATCTCAAAGCTCCCGTTAGAACAGGTAAATTATAATCCTCTGGCAGAGAGAAGGCAGCATTGTATTGAATGATGAATATTGACTCGTTTTCTTTTTTTTAACTTTATAGCTTATTATAGCAGCTTTTGAAAATATGTGTACAAAAGTAGAATAATCAACTCGTATAGCCATCACCCACCTTGAACAGTTACCAACATTTTGCCTTCATTTTCATCTGTCCTTCACCTCAGTTCTTTTTTTCTCCTGGAATTATTTTAAAGCAAATGCCTGACAACATTTCATTTCCTCTTTTATTTTTTTAAAGTGATCTCTATGTCCATTATGGGGCTTGAACTCATGACCCCAAAATTGAGTCACATGCTCTACTGACTGAGCCAACCAGGTGCCCCTCATTTCCTCTTTAAATCCTTTCATTATGCATCTCCCACAAAGACTTCCTCCCTCCTTCCTTCTTTCTTTCTGTCTCTCTCAAATATAATCCCATACCTGGGCACCTAGGTAGCTGAGTCGGTTGAGTGACTCTTGATTTCCACTCAGGTTATGATCCCAGGGTTATGGGATCAAGCCCCACATCAGACTTTGTCTGAGCATGAACCTGTTTAGGATTCTCTCTTTCTCTCTCCCCTGCTCATACTCTCAATAAATACATAAATTTTAAAAATTCCCTTACCCCAGGACCCATTATTATACCCAACAGTTATGATTCCTTAATTTTAAGTCCAGGCTTGGTATCCCAGATTGTCTCAAAAATGTCTTTCTGCAGTTGTTCAAGTTAGGATCAATATATGACCCACATATCATATTTGTTCATTATGCCTCTTATGCTCCATTTAATCTATAATATGACCCCATCCCATTTTTACACCATTGATTGTTCAAGAAGTTGGAAATTTTGCCTGTCGGATTTCCTACATTATGGGTTTGTCTTCCTGTATCCTCATGGTATTATTTGACATGTTTCTCTATCCCCCTGATTCCAGAATTACAGTTATTAGATATAGCAGCTTAATTAGATTCTGATTAAACTATATCAGGGAAAGATCTTAACAGAAGATACATCCCATGGAGAAGTACCGATGGTCTGGTTGTCACTTTTCGTGATGTTAGTATTGAATGACCGGGGGCAAACAGATAATCCCCAAAATGTAGTTCATTACAAGGAGAAGAAAACATTTATGTTCATCCCACTGTAAAATGTAATTTTAGCAGAACAATTTATGAAAAATATTATTCTTAGAAAACAGTCATCAATATTCACTTTTATTTCCAAAACTCAATTGGTTTCTAATGTTGTGATCTTATCGGTTCTAAGTTTCAAACTAGAGCATAATGTGTAATTTGGTAGTGTGCTTAATTTTTAATAAATCACTCCTGGGCCATTCTGTGCCCACTAAAATATTGAATAAATTTCTGCCAGTTGGTCAAATCACACACTTTTTATTAGTATCACCAAATTATGACAGAATTAATTAAGCATTTCTGCACAGATGAATTAGCATGACTTTGAGAGCTAGAGAATTATACTACTTCCTTCATGATGTCCGGAGTTCCTGAAATATCCTTTTGTCTAATTAGATACAGATTCCCATGGCCGGCGGCATGAAGCTGATTTTAATGTCATCTTTGTTCAAAACCATGGACATAAATAAAAACAGTCTTTGTATTCATTTTTATCATATTTAAAAAACTACAATGCTGTGAGCTGGTTTTTCTACCTCAAGTAGAATGTGAATATACATCCCATCTTAATGTGGGTCATCACCGAAAATAAAGTGCATACGTGTGAGCTGGCCTAAATAGTGCTGCTTTAAATGGACATCTTTGTCTATATGCACGTGATAGAGGTTTGTCGTAGAAACTTCCTCCCAGTCCATGGAACTGGGGAGGTTCTCAGACGAACAGCAAAAAGTTCTGGGTGACCGCTGTTAATATTAAATTCTCACTGTGACAGTAACAAATGAACGTGGGCCAATGATTAAAGATTATCTGACTCAGTTATATTCAGAAGTTTTTTATTTCTAACGTGTTCTTATTCTTTTCACAGTTTTGTTTTAGTGACTATATAAACTAGCCCAAAGGTGCAGAAGCAAGTAATTTTTCCCAATCTGTCAGGAGTCGTGGTATTTTATACTTGTTTGTAATTTTTTCAAAATGGGTTAGGTAAGGGAAAAAGAACTTTCTCAGAAACGTATTTTATTGCTTTCAAATTGCTAACCCAAAGGCTTTTTCCTATTCACAATAAAAGCTATAAAAAGCCATCCTAATGTATTTTTTGCTGTGATTGTGCTGTGTAAACATGATTGCACAAGGCAAAACCAACCATTCCCACAGTGCGTGTTGAAAAATGCTGATCTTGTGTTCTTATTGTAGCTTAATGAAATGATAAGAAACCCAGGAGAAGGGCATTTCTGGCAGGTGGACCACATCACGCCAGTGTCCGGCGGCGGAGGACAGTGCTCCCTGGACAACCTGCAGACCCTCTGCACAGTTTGTCACAGAGAGGTAGGTGAAGCTTTATAGACCTGTTTGACTTCATCCTGGGACATCAGATCAACAATCAGGTGGAAGGAATGGAGGAGTCCGTATCCCTTGTCTGAGATCCGAGATGCATTTATCCCTTTCATCACCTAAGTTTCGTCTTGAGGCCTGTGTAAGTTCTCAGTCACAGACAGAAGAGAAGCTACTTCCCTTGTAATTCATTCTGGGACAGGAAATTGTCACCACCACCTAGAAGAAAATGAATATAACTTACACAGTCTCGAGAAGACCCAGACCATCAAACTAGAAGTTTGGTGAATTGGGGCAACAACATATATTTGCATTTGCAGCTAAGGAAGTCCCGAAATGTCAGAGGACAGTAATAAATGTTTCTAGGGCCAACCCAGTTCAACGTGCAAACATTCACTCCTGACCCAAGTGCGAAACCTATTCACCTTGGCACCAATTTGAGCAATTACCTGTTCCTTAAAACAGGAAGGGAAAATAAAATAGTTTTATTTAATAACTAGGATGAATTTTTAACGGGCAGTCTAGCAAAAGGATCTGATTAAAATTTTCTTAGAAGCATACATTCCACATGCAACTTTCTCTCCACCTTTTTTCCCAATTCTGGCAAGATGTAAGCATTTGCCCACATTCCCGTGATGAGCGTTCATAATGTCTATCCTCCAAAAAGGCTACCCATCCCCCTGCTGGGTACACGTCCACTGCACCTGATTTAGCTGTGCCCATCCTCGTGAACTTTGAAGTTGTTCAGACATTCTTTTGTTTACACACCGTTCCTTACATTCTGAGGTTGTTCCTTCAGATAGATTCTCAGATGTAAAATCACTGAGTCAAGTGTTTGGATATTTCTGAGACGGTAGGACTTTATTTCCAAGCTGTTTTCAAAAGGACACTGCTCTGTTATGCTCCTCCCGCCCTGTCGGTGGAGGCGGGGCTCACTTAACTGCACTCCTTGGTGCACAGTGGTGGGAGAGGAGTGGCCAGCCACTATTTTGTGGACCACAGACACTGATGTTTTTAAAAATGCTGATTAATGGTATTTACACTCCCCAAAACTGTTCAAACCCTTTACCAGCGTTCATAGTGTTTAAGTACTTTTTTAGCTTTCCTTTCATACTTTAAATTCCTTCACAAATGTGATTTTTACATAAACAGGATCTTATAAGCAGGGTTGTTTTATTTTATTTTCGTCTCTTAACCCTCTCTTCTCCCCCCACCCCTTCCCTCTGGATAACTTCACACATACATGAACTTCATCTGGGGGAAAAAAGTCATCTGATTTACTTCTCAGCTGTGAAAATTATTAGCACATTCGAGACCTGTAAGAGAATTAAGACAGAACCAAAAGAAAACCCATCACCTTCTGTGATCGTTTTTTTAGACTCTCGTGAAAATTTTTATTTGTGGGAATAGCAGGAGAATCTAGTTCTGACCTACCTCATTTTGTTTCTCTGCATCGGCTTGGGGTGGGGAGTGGCTTCTGAGCCCACAGAATAGGAAGCAGGCGGGCCCTGCATGACTGCACCCTGAGAAACTGCAAGATGCTTTCTATGAGGCCTCACTTGTGTGAGGAGAATCAGGGCCTCCTGTAGTCCCGAAAGGAGAGATTCACAGTCTCAATGGGGAGTAAGTCATTCTCCAAAGCATCTGATCCTAAGTGAATCTAGGACCTCAGCGCACTTACCAGAGCTACTGCGAACCTCTGCTAGTGGGTGTGTTGATAAAGTAGATTCTTCCAGAATAACAAAATGCAAAGAATTTTTGAGTTTCTGAAGCCACCACTTTTTCCTAACAAGCATATTTTTTAACTTTTAGAGAACTGCCAGACAAGCTAAGGAAAGAAGCCAGGGGAGAAGACAATCTCTAGCATCAAAGCATGGATCAGATATCACAAGATTTTTGGTAAAGAAATGAAGTAGAAAAGTTTTTCAATGGATGACAAATGCTTTCTAGGTGGAGGTATTTAACACAAAAAGTTTTGTCATGTTTCTCATTTAAAGAGTGAAAAATTTCAGAGAAAAAAATCAAGAATTCAACTTTCCTTTTCATATTATATGCTTTTAGTGTTCACTACCTTCTGAAAATATGTAACACAAACTGAGAAACAATAGTAAATATTTCTGTGGCCTTGATTTCATGCAGACTCTCAATTATGTTTCAGTAAGGTTTTGTTAAGCTTTCATTTCTCCCTACAGTACCTTAATCATGGTATTATGCCTAGATTATATTTGAAAAATATACTCTCAATTACTTGAAAAATGCTGCTGGATTAGTGTTGTCTCTGGACTGCTGCGTGTATAAATGGAACATTGGGAGACTGTATGGTAATTTCGGAGGCAGAGCATTCAGGAATTCTGGGTCAAGCATGAGCATCCTGGTTAGTATGCAAGAGAGACTCTTGTTTACGGACTGCCTCCAAAATGGGCTTGGGGTACACATTTTGAATGTTGCCCTGTTAGTTGTATTTCTTAGCTAACTATTCTTATTGAAAAGATGCCTCTGAGAAAAAGCTAATTGGACCTATGGTGTTGGTAGATAGTCTGGAGTCCTAGATCAAGTAATTTTTTAAAAAGATTTTAAAAATGAAAACATAAGATGTCAATTTAACTGAAAAATGAAGTTTAAGTTCATGCATAAAACGAGGCTTACTATCAAAGCACACTTTGGCTCCTGCTTATCATTTGGTTTTAAAAGTCCTGTCTTATTAAAAGTGTATTCATGGTACTTCTTTTAACAGGAATGAGGAGGGGCACCTGGGTGGCTCAGTCAGTTAAGCGTGCGACTTCGGCTCAGGTCATGATCTCACGGTTCGTGGGTTCGAGCCCCGTGTCAGGTTCTGTGCTGACAGCTGGCTCAGAGCCTGGAGCCTGCTTTAGATTCTGTGTCTTCCTCTCTCTCTGACCCTCCCCTTCTCATGCTGTCTCTCTCTCAGAAATAAATAAAACTAAAAAATAAAAGGAGTGAGGATGATAAAACACCACATACAAAAGCATGATCAGGTGGGGATAAAAAGTTTCAAAATATGGTGGGTAGCTCAGTTGGTTAAGCATCCAGCTGTTGACTTTGGCTCAAGTCATGATCTCATAGCTCAAGGTTTCGAGCTTCATGTCAGGCTCTTCGCTGGCAGTACAGAGCCTCCTTAGGATTCTCTCTCCCTCTCTCTCTGCCCCTCCCCCACTCACATGCACAGGCTCCCTTTCCCTCTCTCTCTCTGTCTCTCAAAATAAATAAATGAATTTAAAAAAATACATTGGTGGGGCGCCAAGGTGACTCAGTCAGTTAAGTGTCCGACTTCGGCTGTGGTCACCATCTCAGTTCATGGGTTTGAGCCCTGCATCAGGCTCTGTGCTGACAGCTCAGAGCCTGCAGCCTGTTTCAGATTCTGTGTCTCCCTCTCTCTCTCTGCTCCTTCCCTGCTTGTGCTCTCTCAAAAATAAATATTCAAAATATTTTTTAAGTAATAAAAATATACAATGATAATATTAACTTGTAATTGATATTCAACAATAAAAACATGATAAAACAAAACCAGGGTACAATCCTGCAAAATGTCTAAACCATGAAAGAGTTAGAACTACACAAAATCCAGGTCCAAGGAAGAATACGTACTTGAAAGTCCTGTTTGTACTTACTGTTTGGATGTAAACTTCATTTATTTATATTTTTAAACTTCATTTATTTGAGCACTTTACCATTTTAATTAGTAGCTCGTGTTTATGTAGACAACTTGTTTTTAGAAAGACTGTACAATCATGAATTATCCTTCCAGAGTTGCTATTAAGTTTATAACTATTTTTATTGTATAAGATCAAGTAACATTTATTTTATAAATTGGGTCAGGCTTTCTTTCGCCTCCTTTCTGCTTTGTTGGTCAGGCTCTTTGCAGTTTTCTGCCTCATTGCCAGGGTAACCTAGGATTCCTCACGGTTGAGAGCTGAGAAACCAGCAGGTTGCTTTTCCTCCAGCATGGAGTGTTTGCGAGTGAGACTTAGACCTAAGTAGGTCAGATGTCAGTGGAGCTTGCTCCTTAGATTAAACTGAGGTGGCAGCTCTAGGAACAGAGTTCTCAGATGTAGGAAATGTATGATGGTTTCATATTAAAAGACCCATGAAGATGGTCTCTCTTTGCAGATTTCAAACTCCCAACCAAACAAAAATGCTAATACGATCATCTAAAAGAATAAAATACTTAGGAATAAATTTAACTAAGGAGGTGAAAGATATGTCTACTGAAACTACCATACTCTCATGAAAAAACTGAGAAAGACACAAATGGAAGAAGAATTTCTATTGTAATAAGGTGCATACAACCCAAAGAAGTATAGAGCTGCAGTGCAGTCCCTATCAAAATTCCAGTGGCATCTTTCAAAGAAATAGAAAAAAAAAAAATTCTAAAATTTGTATGGAACCACAAAGGATCCCCAAATAGGCAAAGCAACCTTGAGAAAGAATAACTGAGGCATCAGGCTTCCTGATTTCAAACTGTATTGCAAAGCTGTAGTAATCAAAACATTACGGTATTGCCATAAAAACAAACCCATAGATCAACAGAAGAGCACAGATATCCCAGAAATAAATTCATGCAGAGATATTCACCTGATTTTCAACAAACGAGCCAAGAATATATAGTGGAACAAAGATGGTCTCTTCAGTAAATGGTGATGGGAAAACTGGACCCCCCTACTTTATACCATACACACAAATCAACTCAAAATCACTTAAAGACTTGAATGTAAGACCTCAAACAATAAAACTCCTCAAAGGAAACAGTAATGATTTAGGTCCAAGATAGTGGCTAGGAAGACCTCCTCCCCTAGACACACTGAATCTGTACTCACATATAGAGCAACTTCCTCCTGAAGAAGAACTGAGGACTGATTGAACAGCTTTTGTACAGCAGAGGAGACCACATAGAGAATAGCAGGATAAACAGACACATTAGCAATGGGGACCCAATCCTGATGTAAACTGCATTGGGTAGGGCCAGCACGGAAGGACTCATGCACAGATCTGCACGCTGGGGCAGGGAACAAAAGCAGCAGTTCAAAAGGCAACTATACTATAAGTGAACTAACCTTAGAGTATCCAACAAACTGAAGAAGCTGCTAGAATTTTCCTCAGACTCAGAGGTGCTGGTGTGTACTATTGTTTACATTTAGCCTTCACTCTGACAGCACAGACGGGTTCAAGGTCCCAGAACTGTAGCCAGTCTGCTGCATTAGCAAACACCAGGTCCCTAGCCCACACCAGCCTGACATCTCCCGAAGGGGGGCCCCACAACCACACCTGCCTGAGCTCCAGTGCAGTGCATACCAGGGCATGCCCTTAGTGTGCCCATTACAACTGCATCCAACTTAACCGAGGTAATACAGGCACAAAGCACTCCAGGACACCCCAGGTTTCCACCTGCTTTAGCTCCAGCCAACTCACCAGGGCACCCCCTGTGTGGAGTGTCCTGGGGCCCCTAGGCCACACCCATTATAGCTGGAACCATCTCTCCAGGGTGCCCCATGCACAGAATGCCCTGGGACCACCTAGCCCATGCCCACTTCAGTTCCAGTTAGCCCACCAGGGCACCCCTTTTTGGAACACCCAAGGAACCCTGCTCTGTGCCTACTTCAGCTCCAGTCATCTTACCCAAGTGGCCCCAGTGTAGACTGCCCAGACCACACCCTGTACAGCTCCAGCCAGCCAGCCAAAACCACCAGGCATACACCATCTATACCAGGCATGTTCCTACACAAGGCCATTCATCAAGAATTGGAGATGTAGCGGTTTTGCCTAATTCCTAGAAACACAGAAAGTCAAACAAAATGAGAGAGGGGAATATTCTCCATACAACAGAACAAGACAAAACTTGAAAAAAAATTAAATGACATTCATCAGCCTATCTGATAAGTTCAAAGTAATGGTCAAAAAGATGCTTATCAGACTTGAGAAAAGGCTAGATGAATGCTAGACATATCACAATTCCACATTTCAAGGTCTACTACAGAGCTCTCATAATCAATAAGGTACTGGCACAAAAATAGACACAAGGATCAATGGAACAGAATAGAGCGCCCAGAAATAAACCTATACATATATGGTCAATTAATCTATAACAAAGGAGGCTGGAATATACAATGGGGAAAAGACAGTCTCTAATAAATGGTGCTGGGGAAACTGGACAGCTACATGCAAAAGAATGAAACTGGAACACTTTCTTACACCATACACAAAAATAAACTCAAAATGGATTAAAGACCTAAATGGGAGATCTAAAACCACTAAAATCCACAAAGAGAGCACAAACAGTTATTTCTCTGACATCAGCCATAGTAACATTTTTTCTAGATTTGTCTCCTATGGCAAGAGAAACAAAGGCAGGAAAAAAATATTGGGAATACATGAAAATAAAATGCTTCTGCACAGCAAAGTAAAACATTGACAAAGCTGAAAGGCAAACTATGGAATAGGAGATATCTGCAAATAATATCTCCTAAAGGGGTTAATATCCAAAATATATAAACAACTATAACTCAACACCAAAAAAATTAATAAAGATCCAATTAAAAAAATAAGATCGCTTGAATAGACATTTTCGCAAAGAAGATATACAGATGGCAAGATATACATATGATAAGATGATCATCACTAATCATCAGGGAAATGCAAATCAAAACCACAGTGAGAAAAATCACATCAGTGAGAATGACTAGTATCAAAGAGACACAAAATAGCAAGTGTTAACAGGATATGAAGAAAAAAGAACCCTCATACACTGTTGGTGGGAAGACAAATTGAACATTCACTATGGAAAACAGTATGTAGGGTTTTTTTGAAAATTAAAACTGGAAATAAAATATGATTCAGTGATTCCAGTGCTGGGTATTTACCCAAAGAAAATAAAAACACAAATTTGAAAAGATATATATACCCCTCTGTTTACTGCAGCATTATTTACAACATCCAAGATATGGAAGCAACCCAGGTAGCCATCAATAGATGCAAGAATAAAGAAGATGTGGTATATCTACAGTGGAATATTACTCAGACATAAAAAATGAAATTTTGCCATTCCAGACAATATGGATGGGCCTAGAGGGTCCATCACTTATGCTAAGTGAAATAAGTCAGACAGAAAAAGATAAATACCATATATTTTCACCTACATGTGAAATCTAAAAAAAATCAAAAGAAAAAACACCCAGAAACAGACTCTTAAATACAGAGAACTGATGGCTGCCTAAGGAAAAGGGGTAGGCAAAATAGATGAA